CCCGGTGTTTGCCATCGGGGCAGGGTTTTCGTCGCGTGGCAACGACGTTGTGAAACAAGCCAATTCACTTCGTGAACTCGGCAACCAGGTTACCGTTTTTTTTTTTACCTCCGTTTTTTTTTTTGGCGGTTGCCATGATGGTGGTCGAGTAGATCATGTTGTGCGGGGTCGAGAACCCTCACTCCGCGCAAGGGGGATGATCGCACCACGTTGTGTTAAAATGGTCAAGCACCCTCGAGGCAGTTACACAGTGCTTACAACTGTCTCTGGAAGTGAAAGCACCAGAAAATAAATTAAGTCATACGCAGCTGTCATCCGTACGCAAGGAAGTAAGCACAAGATGCCGAACACCCTTAGCAGGATGCAGCGCACCCTTCATGCGACTCGCCGAATATCTCACGGCGCTTCGCGCTTGGTGATGTGAGAGCCTGGTCCGGTGAGAACCCGGCGTGCTCCGTCCCGGCTTTGTAGGGATGCGAGGTCAATGGTCTAACGACTACGGCATGCACGGCTATGAGTACATGAGTAACCACTCTAAATACATTACGGGATCTCCGACACAACTAGCTCAAACTATGCCATCCTGTATAGGAACCCCAAAGATACTCTTGCGCGATCTCCTATCGCCGTGGATTGGCCTGTGGGTCAGGTGTTCGGCAGAGGCGAGCTCTTCCGCAGGCACATGGGGAACCTTGATCTCATAGTGCACATGCACAACAACGTCGAGGTTACCTTGCTGCCGGTCGAGAGGCCCTTGCTGCAGCAACAACTGGAGCAAATAGATCAGCTCCTCGCGCAAGGGATTGGGGGGGAGGCGCACAAGATTGCGATACAATCGTCCAAGACTGGCGCGGGCGCTAAGGCCGGTGGCGGTGGCGGTGGTGCCGGTGGCAAAGGGCCAAAAAAACAGAACGGTCAAAATACCCCCGGTGCGAAAAAAGGCGCAGGGAAAAACGCAACTGGAGGTAAGCGAACTACGGTCAAAGACGATGAGCAAGCACAGCGTGTGTCGACCTGGTTGAGGGAGAATGGGACGCGCGTATGTGTAAGGGTTAGTTCGTGTGGAAAACAACAGCTGGTCTGAAAAGAACTATGGCCGGGTACCTGTTGAGATACAATAATATTTTTCCGAAGAGAGCACGATCACCACCACCATACTGCTAGCACATAGTCGGACCAGTGCTACTTATCGGGACTGAATTCGAATGGGCACCCTCAACATTTATTAGAAGTCTTCCCTTTTCCACGGGGTCTCTACTGCCAAATTGAGAACGTTTTCAATGTTCTCCACGTTTTTTCAGCAGCCACGGGAGGCGCCGGCGGAAAGGCGATTGGAGGGGCGGGGGGTACCGGAATGGCTTCAGGAGCGCCGGCGCAGACTCTGAATTGGCGAAGCACGGGGATCGACACCTTCATTGGGGAGGCCATGACTCAAGTGAGCATGAAATGACCATGATGGGTTGGGTTGTGGTGCACCCAGAAGCTGATATTTCGAACCAAATCGCACCGGACCTGTGCACCTCCATCGTTTTTCACGTTGGGTAATTAGAGAAGATAACACCGTCTATTCGCAGCATCCCCCTAGCACAGCTGTCGGAATTAGCGTTGAACCTATGGATGCCATCGGTTCACCCTTGACATGCACAACAATCGTCAATGATCGGCAACTTGGAGTCTGGTCTGTCCTTCGAAAAAAACATCATCTACCACTAAGAATCGCGGAACGTAACCTCGATATCATCATCTTCGTTGTTTCTTCTTGCAGGTGAAAGAGCTGAGTGAAACGTTGTCGGGCATGAAGGCTAACCTGAAGAGACTGGAGGTGATGACACGGGCGTGGGCCGCCCAGCCGTTGTTCGAAAGGGGTGCCAAGACATCCACGGCGGAAAATTTCCAGCAGATGCAGAGCGTCATCGTCACGCAGAGGCAAGCAAAGTTTGTCGGGCGTGTTCCCCTGTTTGCGTTTTATTTCCGGAAATGTCAGATCCTTCCCGGTGTATGGCGTTTCACACCGAACGAGCTTCGATCGTTCACTCATATTGTGATCGACAACAGGTATTATCCGTAGAAGACGTACTGCAGCATGACTGATGCACGTGCCCTGACTGACCAACGATGGACCCGGTAGGCCCGACACGATGTGATAGTGCGGCATGACCTAAACGACATATCATCATGCCATAGTTCAGAATGCTGAAGGAATGTGGTGAGGCATGGGCGTTAATAGTAGACCCTGCCAACAAATCCTAGCGTGAAGAAAGTGCTCGGCAGGTGCTTGCAGTGCTGCGGGAGGGTCACTGGATTACGAGGTCGAGGCATACACGCGAACGCCAACCATATTCTGAACATTTGGAAGCCATGCTCCCTATTTTGGACTAATCCATCCAACTAAATCCGGGACAAATCCACACGATTCCGGAACGACTTGTGCAACGTGTTCGGTAATCAATGTGGTTCGTAAGTGTATGCCCTACGGAAGGAGAGCTTGCCAGCACGTCAAGCACCCGGGGCACCAACCGCTGAGGTATTCTTGCGTGTCTCTGTCCTGAATTCAACGCTGTACATCCATTCCAAAGATGTGCGGCGATCCGAGAGGGGGGACTGGAGCTGCACAAACTGCTGAAGGATACCAACCGGAAGCTTAAGGTGTCGGCAGGCCTTCCTGACTGGAAAAATTACGTCGATTTCGTTAATTCACTGGTGAGTTAGATATATTTTGTCCGAGATAGAACGCGGCTTCTCTAGCTCTCCTGTGCTACACACCGTTACGACGTTGCTAATCGACTACAACCAAGCTTCTTACGGGTGCAGTGCACATGACACAGCACGCGACACGATCACCCCTGGGGGACTCACTAGGCTGGCTGCGTAGCTTCTACACAATAACGAAGCCCACCCTTCCCGAGCACACATGGGCGAAAGATTGCACAACATACAAAAATTGTGCATTCTTTATTTTTTTTCAGGTTGTACAAGGCCTGATCAAGGTGGTAGCCGGGTCTCTCGGCACACTCAACCAGCAGATGAGCCATTCGTACATTGTCAAACAACAACTTCCCCCGATGCTGGAGTTGGAGATGCACCTCGCCGGAGGCAAGGTGAGGAAATCACGCTACATTACCCGATGCAGCATCTTGGGTTCGCACCAAAGTCGTGATTGGCCAAACCTTCAAGACTGGGATGATGACTCGTGCTGTACTATTACATCTCGTGGGATGTCGTTCGGATGTATGACAAAATATTGAACAATGTTGTATACTCCACAAGTGCAGTACAATCGCCAGGAAACGTTGTCCCTCAAGCAAACAGCAGATAATAACTGCACCAGCCGCGGTAGCTTGACGCTCAACGAAGATGGTGCAATCAGGCATATCACGGGGCAAACCACCTCGATCGTGACGACGTTCCAGCCTTCCATAAAACAGTCTTCGTAGTTCAGTGGTCCTCATCACCCTACAGTATGTTTGCTGATCTTGAGCATCTTTGGACTCCCTGAAGATGTAGCGAACTTACCTGCGCTGCCCCACTCCCCCTTTGGTGGTAATTTCAAGGTCGCCTACGTTCCCGACATTGGAACGGTGGAATCCAGGGTCAACCCCGAGAAAGTCGTCACCAACGCGGCCCAGGGTCAAAAGGGGCAAGCGGCCGGTAGAGCTGGGGGTGGCGGAGGAGGAGGCTGTGGAAAAGCGTCAGCGTCTTGGGTGTCGCGAGCAACCCTGCGGAGGATGACGTGGGGTTGGGTGGAAGGGTTTCTCAACGTAGCCAAGGTCTTCCGTCGCATCGACGGCACGGACGGGACTTACCTGAAAGACATTCAGGTGCTTCCCGGGGCTGGCCACGTCTTCGGGTGCATAAATCCCCTTGATGGCAGCTCGAAGACCCACTGGTGTGGCCTAAATAGTACGCCACCTACACCCTCTTTTTCGTGTTGGAAAAATGGGGGTTCATAGTCCTCGCACAGTTGCACCAAGCACGAACCAAGAGAGTATTGTAGCACATCTCGGCCTTGAAATCTGTCCGTTGCCTTTGCTTCAAATTGAACCCCACAATAACTGCCTCCGACATAAACTGAACAGGACGATCCTGAAGTGCGGTCTCAGTTGTCCCAGATCCACGAAAGGCTTGACGTGATGGAGAACTCCATGCTGGCCTTCAAGCGCCAGTTCTCTGCCTACGAATACCTTTGGACGACAGACCTACAAGCAATGTTCAAGGAGTTCCTCGAGGAGGCCAGCTACGACGAGGTCATCGAAGATGAAGACGACGACTCCGGGGGAGGGACTGGGGGAGGAGGAGCACGGCAGGGGGTCTCAGAGCAAGGGGGGGGTGACGACGGCACGGACGGCACGCGGGTGCTCCGCATGCTCAACCTCGCGAAATTCGACGAAAAGATTCACCTTTACCTTGGAGTTCAGTCGGAGGTGGCGTCTCTGAAGCACAACCAGGACGTGGGCTTCGTCCGCGTCAACGCGCAGCCCATGAAGCAGGCCATAAGCACTTGGGTGACGAAATGGATCTACCTCTTCGCGCAGAGTCTACAGGACCATGTGTCTTCATCTTTGGAGAGGATGTACTCCTTCATCGCATACACGCAGAAAGGGCTGGAGACACCCCTGTCGGTAAGCATCACATTCAAAAGCAGCTGGTATTCCGCCACGGAGCGGAGCCGGCTGTGATGCACGGTGCGATAGACCTTGACTCTACCTTCAACAACGGTATTTCAACAAGGAGCAATTTGACAGTGGAATACGCATCTGCACAACTGTAAAGATTTGCTGGAATTGAATCTTCCCAAATGGCGCTCGGTCGGCAAGTATCGCAAGGTTTCGAATTGCAGTGAAAGGACTTCAACAAAAACTTGGGCAAGATTTCCATTGAACATGGCTTCGACGTCGAAAAGAACTCCATTCACAGCGGCGAGCAACGTCGTTTTCGGGATTCAGAACCTGTTTGTTTTGCTCGGTTTTGCCCTGCCCCCCTTGATACAGGCCGAAGACAAAGACGGCATCATGTCCACGATGACTCATATTCGCGACGTCCGCAAGAAGGCCCCCATGGTGACCGGTCTCTTCGGTCCTCTCAAGGATACGGTGCTGCTGCTCAAGAGCAGGGGGATACCCGTGGATCTTCCCCCCGTCAACAAGCAGCCCGCGCTTGAGTTCCTAGATTCCGCGTACATGCTCTGGGACAACACCGTCAACAAGGCCTACCGCGTCAAGGGCGAGATACAGCCACTGCAGAATGCGGCCGCTGATGGAGTGCGGAAGGATATCGCTAACTTCGGCGAAGAGGTGCTGCTTGCGCATTGCTCACATGCGGCGTACAACCCCGGTTGCACATGCTTACATCCCATGCTTCACGATGTTTGTCAATGATGTTCGAGCGAAACACTTGTTCACTCCGATCGAGGAATGAAGGTTTAGGTTGGCTTTAGTGTTCTGTTTTGAGCGCTTTTCAACGCGGATCTCGACAACGCGTTATATTAAGCACTGTTTGACATCTTCTCTCAGGCTTATTCGAGCGGACCCCATCGTTCATTGCTTTCAATCCAATTGCCTGCAGGTGAAGGCCTTCGTTGCTCTGTTTAAGCGAACGGCGCCGTTCGCGACGGCGCAAAAGCGAACGTCAGTCGACGTCGGAGGCGGCGACAGCACCGCAGCTCATCCTTTCCAGGCAGCGGTTGCAAGCTACAAGAAGCTGGACAATATCCAACATTCCCTGCGAGCCCTCGAAGCGAAGGCTTTGTCCATGAGGGAGCTAGAGGAGCTGTTCGAGTTATCGCCGACAAGACATACCGGCCTCGTTGAGGTGCGGGCGCAACTTCGACTGCTGAAGATGGTGTGGGACGTGGTCGGTCTTGTGGATGGGCTGTTTGCTTCCTGGACGGCTACGCTCTGGGCCGACATCAAGACGGACGAGCTGTTGGAAGAGGCCAGGTACGGTGAAAGAAAATCCTTTTTGTATTTCGATCGTGTTTGAAACGACCGTTATTCAATCCACCTCCAAACAGGAACACCCCTCATCTCGTCGGCGACGGTCTGGCAGATTCGTAACTGGGTGATTTGACCCCAAACCATTGGTCCTCGCGCCTGATGCTGAGATGTCTGCATTGTTGGGAGCAAAGGGCAACATGTACAGTACCAACAGCACCTGGTTTAAAGTAAAAGAAGTCGTCGTGCAGAAATAAAAACCAACTGGAAACTGTGGTCGCACATACGTAGGTCTCTCCAGCTTCACATTCGGGGGCTGCCAAGGCGCATCCGTGACTGGGGCTTGTACAAAGCGGTGGACGAACGGGTGGTCAACATGTCTACGGTTCTGCCCCTCGTGAGTGTCTAATGTTATGCTGTCATTGGGTTCTCTCGGAACTTCGAAGAAGGCAAGTACTCTACACGGAAGGCAAAGCGGTACATGTAGGCTGGCCCCGAGAGGGACAACGTTTCGAAAATTATTAGGTCGAAAATGTCAGCGATGTTGGACATCCATGTAATTTAATAATTTCCTGATCTCTCCGCATCTGTTGCTGTGCCGTTGTATCAGATTCACGAGCTGCACTCCCCCGCCATGCGTGACCGTCACTGGAAGGACCTCCTAGACGTCACGGATCAGCATCGCCCGCCCGCTGAACGGAGGCTGAGTAGGGTAAGGCGTGCAATGTTGGCAATATCTGCTACCGTCTCGATCGAACTACGTCTAGCATCGAAAAGTACTTTTCAGTCTTTCAGCAAGACTTATCATTTCGTTGACGACAAGTGTGGTTGATCAAAGTGTTTAGACACAAGCCGTTGCGTCTCCCTGCAAACAACGACCAATCCTATTCTTTTTCTCGCAGCAAGCGCGTCGTCGCTCAAGCACGAACATTGGCTTAGAGGGCCACGGGGAGCTTCAACCGCCGCAAAAAAGGATAACGCTCGCGACCGTGTTGGGGCCGTCGTTCTCCCTGGAGGATGCCCTCTCCCTCGACTTGCACAAGTACGTGGACGCGTGCATGGAAGCGGTAGAGGTGGCCACCAAGGAGCTCAAGGTCGAGACACGCCTGCGCAATATCGAGACCCGTTGGAAGGAGGAGCAGCTTAGCTTTGTGCGGCACCGGGATACGGAGGTGTTCGTGCTGTTCGGGGCGGACGAGGTTCTCGAAGCGCTGGAGGACCACCAGATGCAGCTCCAGGGGATGGCCGGCATGGGAAAGTTCGTGGACTTCTTCCGAGAGGAGGTGCATGCTTGACAGCAGTCATGTAATTCGGGGGATCTCGTCGGAACAGTGTTTCACGTTCTTTTCCTCGATCCGATCGCCGTGTGGTCTGTCGGGATATATTCAAGCCACATGAAATACGTACAGTGCACGGAAGAGTCGCCCCGGGTAGTATCGGCCTTGAGCCCGATGACGGCCGGGAAAACGCCCAAGAAAAAGTACCCATCGAATCCGATGGCAACAACGTTTTGACATTTTCTGCTGTGCAGCAAACCTGTACGCTCAGGGCTGTGCGAACATACTAGAACAGATTTTGCGTTGTGCACGTCGCATTTTCAAAACATCCTCAGCATGTACAACATGTAATACTCGTTGCTGTTCGGCGGTATTTTGGAAGGCATGCTGCCATTATGTTGAATGTGACCGTTCTACCACCTCTTGTGGTCACCTTCCTCCCGTTGAGTTAATTCAACGAAAAACTCTACCTCTTGTTTGTCTTCGGCATCCAATTCCATTTTCATGGCAGGTGACGGAGTGGCAGGCCATCTTGGGAGAGGTAGAGACGTTTTTGAAGCTGATGCTGACGGTGCAGAGGCAGTGGACATCGCTCGAGGCCATTTTCCTCACCAGCAAGGACATCAGGTCTCAGCTGCCGGACGACACGCGAAGGTTAATACTGCGTTTGTTCTTGCTATTTTTCCGTTCTTCATGTAGGGCTGACTTGCAAGACTCAGACACTTCGTGTTTCATGCTATCATGGTGTCGAATTTCATCGGGCTGCACCCCCTCATGCGTCACCAGAACGACCACAACTACGACGGCAAGGTTTACCGGGTGACCTGTGCGCCTGGGGATCGCTCAACACATCTCGTCGTGCTAGGGTTCTGCGGCGCAATGCTCCCACGCATTTCCGTTCGAGTAGCACGACTATTGGTTCACATTCAGCGTCGTACATCGGCAAATATTGGAACAAGTGGACGATGTGTAATGCTAGGCTCTACGAACATCAAGACGCGTCGATGCCCGTTCATTAACGTCCCTCAGGAGACCAAGAAATTAACTTGTACCCTTATCTGTCGGCCCCAATAGGTTCGAAGGCATTGATCTCGAGTTCAAGGACCTGATGAAGAGCGGGTCCTATTGTCCCACCGTCATCACATTCTGCTCCGAGGTACAGTGTGCAGGGTTACAGTAGCTTCACGTTGTTCTACAACGAATGTTGTGGAGATGGGGATGATTCAGCAGGCAATTTCCAGAATTATCATTCATTCATTGGGTATCGATTCGAGATGCTCATGCAGCCGGCCTACACTGCTATGTTGTAGTGGAGGGTTTGGCGTAGTGTACTCTTTGGGTGAAGACCAACTGGTCGAAATATTATCGCGCTAGTCTCGGTTTAGAGGCAACTCTGTTCGTGATTTAGATATATATCACGCTTTACTTATTTCTAGACTATTAAGAGCAATTGGTCATTCCTACGTTGGATATGATGTCGTTCGGAGCGTTGTTCTCTTTCGAAGCAAGAGCGTATAGTGATATATAACATGCAGTTTTCTGCCAGACAGTGGCTGGTTTCGAAGGGGATCTCTGCTAAGACGTCTCTGCTGCGTTCACGGCAAGGTGAAAACATCTGCGTAAATTGACCGCACTACTTTTATTCTAGCGTGCTGGTCGTCTGCGACCGGGCTTCTCCCTATTTCGGGTTTGTCTAGCAGGCAAAGGCAACCACATTGAACGAATACCGTCCGCCAACCAAGAACCACACATTGTAGAGCAATGCCAAAGCAGTTGCGCAAGGAATGAGCATCGAATGCGACATAGCCATGCTTGTTTCTGTGCTGTATCTTCCCGGTGTGTCAGGATGGAAGGGGAGAAGGTCTCGCCAACATGCACCGCGAGCTGGAGAAGTGTGAGAGAGCCCTCACGGAGTACCTCGACATGAAGAAAAACGTCTTCTCCAGGTTCGGAACGTTTTGGCTTCCTACAGGATTCTAATGGTTATTCTTCGGAAGTCAAGTGGCCGTAGCATGTATTGCATGGTTCGTACATCGTTTGGACCTGGTGATTGCGCATGTACCAGGGGCCTTGCCGAAACTCGCGGCACGAAGGCAGGCGCCCCCGTTTACTAGTCGATTTGGCTGGGGTAACGCATTTAACCTTCGATATCCAAATGCCACTGCGTCCAGTCATGCCATAGATTGATGTGCTGGTCGTTGGACAAGGTAACCTACTGCTAGCACTGTTCGGCCTGGTCGTTATTTTGGGAAGCATTCGGCGAGGAACGAACGAGATCCTCTCCGCAAAGTAAGATCTGGAGATATGGTCAAAATAATGTTCATGGTCAATCACAAAAGTCACAACGCCAGACAATATAACACGAGAACAAGCCACAACATGAGCAACGGCAGGAGGAAACCTGCCGAATTCAGTTAGAAATACCCCTCTTCGTTTCAACGATATTGTCGGCCGATTACCCCCAGCGCTACATTTGTCCACTCGCAATCTCTCGCATTTGTCAACAATTCACCAATATGAAATTTCATGTGGATCATCTTTTCCTTATCATGTTCGACCAGGTTTTACTTCGTGTCTAACGCGGCTCTGCTCGACATCCTGTCCAACGGCAACGACCCTCCCAAGATTCAGCCCCACCTTGGCTCTGTATTTGACGGGATTGGATCTCTTGAATTTTCGGCACCGGATGAGAGTGTTGATTTGTCTGCTGCTGCGAAAGGTGGAGAAGGAGGCGATGGGGACGACCCGTCCCTCGCGGAGTCACGGAAGAGGTAGTGGTGCTTGTTGGGAAGATGTGTCCCTTGTTTCATTTGTACTCTACCTGATCGCGTTTGGTAGCAGCGGCGGACGGTTCATGCAAGTTTGCCAGCCATCAGGGGCGACAGTAAGAGCAGTCGGCGAGATAGTATTATGCGGCGGTAGATGTCCAAAGAGGTAGAAGAGAATGGTGCACGTAGGCACATTCTTTCCTGCCCGCTTCGTGCCCCCACGCCGATATTTATATAACAGCAGAGTACAACGAAAGCTTCATCTCAAAGTAAACTTCATCTCAGAGAATCGGAAGCGGACCACCTTACACTGGAACCGCCGAGTTTCTGACGTTTTGCTAGATAGGAGTAACGACCTCCCGCACGCGATCCCACGTGCACCGTGTTGATACGTTTGTTTTTGCGCGTTTTTTTGTCTCAATAAGCGCTGGAGTACCAGAAACCGCGGTGGCAATGCTGGCAAAAGACGGGGAGAGAGTTCCGTTCCACGCGTTGTTCCACATGACGGGCGCCGTCGAGATGTGGCTCATCAGGTGGAGAAAAGAGCTCAAATAACACTGCACATCATAAACTACACTACGATGTTGATACCAAACGAGGCCGCCACTAGTACTATCCCGAACGGCACTTGCATTGGATATACTACAGTTTGCTGGTCACTTGTGTGTACCTGTTAGCTTGAAACCGACGGCTTCCTGTTTCTTGTGTAAGTTGTGAGCAGTCGCATATCCTGTCACATGATCACAAAAACCGATCAAGATCTTAACCTGTTACAATTGCAACAACACCGTGGTCTTTCCCTCGGCCTTGTCGCGAGTCGGGGAGAAAAGACATCTATCTCTGCACACTTTTTTCACTGAGTTTTTGCCCATAATCCTGGACTAGCACCACATCAATATCATGGCTTTGTCATCTTGGTCTCCTCTCAGCCTGGTATCCTGGATGCAGAAGACTCTTATGCTAAGCCTCGACGAGGCAGTCAGGGAAGCCGCTCTCTGGGAGGTCGATAAGCCGAGGGAAGAATGGCTGTTCGGGTACCCCGCGGAGCTAGCGCTCCTTGCCGGCCAGGTATTGAATTGATCAGTTGGTCGCCCATAACATTACAACTATCTACCTTATTGCGACTGGGTTGAGTGTTGCTAGGATGATGGATTCCCCCACGCAAACCTCGTCGATGTTCAGGAACCAGCCATTATTCTAACTCGATTATGCCAAGCTTTGCCTTCGATATTGGTTGAAGACGTCGTTCCTGGCAATAATTTCGTGTATCACTAGGTTCCATTCAACATGTACCCATTTCATTCGTCTTCTGGGGGGCGGCTTCAGGCCTCAGCAAAGTTCTGGGTGTTGCGAGCACTCATGATAAAACCTGATCGATATACAAGCCCCCGTTCTTGGCCAATACAAAGTGATCATAGGAAGCGATAGTCTGCAGGGTCTACATGCATGACCGTGTTGTAAGTGTTCCGTTGTGCTCATCTAGACTATCTATTGTTGCGCTTGTTCAAATCGTTCTTCTTGTTTCCACATCAAGCGTCGCCATAAATGATGTCAATTTCAGATACTTTGGACTGAAGAGTGCGAGAGAGCTCTGGAGGAGTACGAAAACGGAGCGGAGGACGCCGTAAAGAAGTACCTTGAGGTTTGCTGCGTCAGGCTGGATGGTCTCATCAAGCTCGTGCAGGGAGAGTAAGTGACAAGCCACGAAACACCATGCCATAGATCAAACCTTGAAACCTTGCTTAGCAGGGGAGTGAATAGCTTATCTCGCGGAACAAATTGCCAACCGAATCAATCGTATCCCTTTCCCTGCCCACGGTTAGAAATTAGTAGGGGGATCAGGAGGAATTGTATGGTTTTGTGTGCAGGAGCTCAAGTTGTAATTGCGAGGGTACCACTGCAAACATGGGAGATATGTGCACGCAAGACATACCGACAACCCTCAACTGACCCCGGAAACATCGGCAGGTTGACAAAAGAAACTCGCGCGAAGATCATCACCCTCATCACAATCGACGTTCACAGTAGAGATGTGGTCCAGGGCTTGATCGACCGCAGGGTGGAAAGCAACCTCGACTTCGCCTGGCAGTCCCAGCTAAGGTATGCTACTGTACCTTGTTATTCATCTTTCCATCAGTGGGCCTTTGGTGGGCTACCATACTTGCATAGTCGGAAGGTTCGATAGGACGGTTAACTTGCGTATGCGCTCCCTTCTCTTGGACTAGTCCGCTTTTACAATCTTGGTCTTTGGAAAGTAACGGCGGCGATCGTAGCGAAGAAATCCCGCTTCCGTGGATCTGGGCATCCCACGGCACGGGTTTGATCCTCGCCCTGACGGAAGGACCCTTGTACTCGTTCACAGTAATTCTAAAAACAAGTACAGAACGTTGACGGAAAGAGAAGACTATCCCTGTGTTGACTGGCACATATCCTCGAAAAGTCACATACAGTATCCATGCACGTTCTCATGAAGCTCCTCTCCATGCTTGCACGGATATTTTTTCAAGGTACTACTGGGCGCCTCAGGATGGGGTCAAGAAGATCGCAGTGCCAATGACGTCAGGAACGGGGGCGGGGGCCGCAGGAGGTGCAGCGGTCGCGGCATCGGCCATCGACACGGGCGAGGGCTGCGTCCGAATCAAGATTTGCGACTTCCGATCGGTGTACTCGTTCGAGTTCGCGGGCAACTGCGGCCGACTCGTGATAACGCCGCTCACTGACCGGTGCTACGTCACCCTGACGACCGCCTTGAGACTGATGCTTGGCGGGGCTCCGGCGGGTCCCGCGGGCACCGGCAAGACGGAGACTACGAAAGATCTCGCCAGAGGCCTCGGGTTACCGTGCTACGTGTTCAACTGCTCGGACCAGATGAACTACCGCACGATGGCCGATATTTTTAAAGGTGTGGGTGCCTTGTACTTGTGCCGTGGGGCGGTGGTATGTCTGTGTGAGGCGTTTGTTTGCTCATTCTACATGGACAAACGGGCGCAACATATCTCAGGGCGTGAGATAACGATTGATTGAGTTGAGTTGAGGCAGCTACCCCTATCACAGAGTTGCGGGTTGTGCCTTTTTTCCGCGTTGCACATGTGGTTTTGTGATTTCAAACTTCAATAGTTTTCGTAATAGCACAAGAAAACGGTTCGAACAGGCCACACGGAGACGCTCACACATCACAACACCAAAGTGTTGGGTTCAGTCTATGATCTAATGATCCTGATGCACAAACGATATGCCTCATGTTCGATGCTAGTTGGTATCAAGGCTGACCCAGGAACCCATACGCCATTTCCTTCGAGATTTTGATGCCCCAAAATACGGCTAATCTTTGTGGTTCCGACTGCGATACAGGCCTTACCCAGGTTGGGGCGTGGGGATGTTTCGACGAGTTCAACCGCATCTCCATCGAGGTTTTGTCGGTAGTGGCAAGCCAGGTCAAGTGCATTCAGGATGCCGTTGCGCGATTCTCCAATCCCGACTTGAGAGAGCCACAGTACCAGCACTTACCCGCGGGAATCCCCAACGTCAAGGTCAGTATTACCCAAGAAACCACGGGGGTCACATTTGCCAATGAATCGTGGGACATGACGTTGCCCAACGTTTTACAGTCCACGTTCTAGTCAATAACCGTAGGTTCAGCGCCCAGGTGTTTTCAGGGCTTTCTCGCTTCCTAAAATCCCCATCCCACTGATACGTTACAGGTGTAGTTGTAACACCTGAAGACAACCACGAGTTTGCTGGGTCGATTGACGTGCGCAAGATATCTTGCACAAGCGTTTCCTGTTTTGCTTTGTTGAGACCGACGTTGCCGAAAATAAACACCTCCCGCACGCACACCCGAACCGACAGAAAATACCCAACGGACAACACTCGAGTGCTTTACGAAACCCGACACCTTGATGCGAAATCAGGTCGGGGTTTTCGACTTTCTTGGGGAGGTTGTATCGATGGTGCCCACTTGTGGCTTCTTCATCACCATGAACCCGGGGTATGCCGGGCGGACGGAGCTCCCCGAGAACCTGAAGGCATTGTTCCGGTCTTGCGCGATGATAAGGCCGGATCTTCGGCCGATCTGCGAGAACATGCTCATGGCCGAAGGGTTCGTTAAAGCTCGGGCCCTCGCAGTGAAGTTCGTAACGCTTTACTCGCTTTCCTCGGAGCTGCTGTCCAAGCAGGTGGGTTGCCATTGTCGTTGATGCTGGCACTGATAATGACCTTTCAGAAATTGCTGGACGTGGGTCTGATTGCTGGCCTTGTTGCAAATATTTCTGAAGCGGGACATGCTGGATAAGGCGTCTCATTGCCGGGCAGCACACCACCCCAGCTCATTGTCCATCCGCGTAGCCACGCGTACCCTTCCCCTCTTCAATCGTGTCCTCAAATTTCAGTTCCACTACGATTGGGGTCTTCGAGCAGTCAAGTCAGTCCTCCTGGTGGCGGGAAAGCTCAAACGTTCCGATCCCGATATAGACGAAGAGGCTGTGCTGATGAGAGCGTTGCGAGATTTCAACACCCCCAAGATCGTTAGCGCGGATACGCCCATCTTCCTAAGGCTGATCGTAGATCTCTTTCCGTTGATGGACCTGGCACCCAAGGCAAGGAACCATCATGGATGCACACGCATAGGCAGGACTGCGTTGCGGGAAAACATCATCCCTGTTTCATACGTAGCGGCCTGTGCTAGAGCTTTTTAGGTGGATTGACGACTAGGAATCAAAAACCTTGCCAAGATAACCGTCGGCCACGTTCCCCCTCTCTTCGCTAAGCTTGTATCATTTTGGGGAGAAGGACGGTGTGATGCAATCTGCTTCTATATCCGTCGCGCGTACATACAACCGACCTGCTCTTACGCCGCCTTCTGTAGTTGTTTTTGAAGCACCTCCATGGCCGAAGCCGATCGATCTCTTCATCACTGGGACGAAACCATTCATGTCAACGTTTCCAAAACCAGCGCGACACCTTCCGCAACCTGTCTCGAACCACGACAAGGTGAACGAGGTACTATCGAAAACCTGCGCGAGAGTCTGTGTGGAGGAACTATCCTTGCAGCCGGACCATGACTTCGTCGTCAAGGTGGTTCAGTTCCAAGAGCTGCTTGACGTGCGGCACAGGTACCTAACTCCCTGGTTTTTGGTAGAAAATACTTTTCCGGCTGACCAGAACGCCGTGTCTAACGTTGATCGACCCGAAATGACGTTTTCAGAGTTCTTTCCTTCCTGCGCACCCTTGTTGAAGGTTTACTACTCATCGGGTTCTGTGGGCCGCCTCCTAACTAGTATTGAAAGGTTATACTCCGAGGAATATTTGTAGCGTCTGGGTCACCGAGGGTCGCCATGTCGAGTATGCCAGAGAAGCGGACGTTTCAGGTTTATGGGCAGGCTACGTCTAGGCTGTACATGACGAGCGAACGCCCGCACTGCTGTATCTCTTTGTACACACGTTTCTCCCTCGCCCTAAGGGGTAGCTTCCTCTGCCACGCTAAACGATCACGTTAATGCCGTATTCCTTTAGTGTTATGGTTCTGGGACCCGCTGGGTGTGGAAAGACAACGGTATGGAAAACCCTGATGGCGTGCCACAACCGGGGAGAGGCGAAACCGTCCACGGTTGCCGAAACCGTCAACCCCAAGGTAGAGCTTGGCAGACTGTAGAAGCATGTTTTCCCATGTTTTCGGCCCGCTGAAGGCATGTGATGCTGTTCATTTCAGACGGTTCGCCCATGAATGGTTTTCCATGTTTCAGCTCGCGAAGCGCATGTAGTGCTATTCGTTTGAGATGGTTCCGCCCATGAAGACGTTGCGAGTAAGGTTAGAGGCGGCTTCCCGACAAATAGGTCGCTGGTGCTTTGAAGCTTTAGCCCCTGATGGCTGGTAACACTCGGTACGTGTGGACTAGTTGGTCTCAGCACGATATTCGACGGAGCCCAACTACATGCTGTACCGGTTTCGCTGATGTTGTGTCGACGTTTCAAAGCCGTTGAAGTTGTCATGGGTGCTGCTGAAGCCCCTATGAAGGAAACGATGACCTCACTCGCCTGACACGGCTGGGGATACGCACCCGTGTACCGCATCACATCCAGTGAACAAACGAGCCACCCAGTGATATGCACCACGACAGTGGGGCTCGAAAATATTCTCAAGAACACAGAGAGCAGGCTTCGTGAAGTGATGAGAGAGAAATCGAACCAATCCTACTCGGGCAGTAAGCCAATAAAAATTAAAGGTATGGCCAACCTTGGAGGCACCAGTCCCACATCTCTGCAGAGGAAGAACGACTTGAGTGATACTCACATGGCGTGCTACCCCGCGATTTTAGGCGGTCACTTCGGACGAGCTCTACGGTTACATGACCCTGGCGAAGGAATGGAAAGATGGAGTGCTAGCCATCATCATGAGAAACATGAGTAAGGAGTGGGCACCATTCGGCCTGCACCAGAACCAAAAGTGGGTGATCCTCGATGGAGATATCGATGCCGTCTGGATCGAGAGCATGAACACTGTCATGGATGACAACAAGGTGAGCGTGGCGACTCCGTGTATGTGGGCGGTCGCGCAACATCTCCGATATGAATTTTTTCTCCACAGTTTGGGCTTACCTTGTTTTTGTACGTCGATCCCGTCTGGATGCCGAGGATGACATCGGGCGCAGATGGATGAACTGTACAGCAAGCGAAGCTGGCGAAAATTAATCCTGTTGGCAACCGAACGTTTTTATCATGGAAACTGAGTGGTATTGTCTTCTTGGCGGTGTTGTTGTTGTTGTTGGTGGTGGTAACAGAGGCCAAGTGGCTGCTCTTTCATTTATTGTTCAATGACAAATTGGTATACCATAAGGGCTTGCGCGAATAACATAGCCACAATCCGTTGTTCATCCTATCGTTTTGTAAACAAGGTGCTCACGCTGGTGTCGAACGAGCGAATCCCACTGACGGCGGCCATGCGAATGATCTTCGAGATTCACTCTCTGAAAAACGCTACCCCCGCGACGGTTAGCCGCGCTGGCATCCTGTTCGTCAACGAGGTAAGTCATACAATACCATCTCATTGTCAGAAAGTCGACGGAAGCCGAATGATAACTGAAGTTTCGCGGAAACCGTGTTAAACTTGAACTGCGCAAACCTAGGGAAGTTTGGATACACGCGTTGACGTGTGTTACTCTACGTAGCCGCAGTCATCCCCTTGGTCCACGACCTTTTTCGTGTTACGGTGCAATAGACGCACTGGAACAATCAGCCATGGAGTTCGTTTGGACAAATACTGGCCAACACCACCAGCATGCCGTCCACGTGTAGGCTGTAAGCGGTCCTTTCCGTCCAAACGGAGGTACCATACAGTGGCCGATCCTCTGGTAACATGATCTGTACATCATCATGTGATGTCTGTTCTTTCAACAGACCGATATCGGCTGGCACCCGTACGTGGAGAGTTGGGTGCAGGCGCGCCCCGTCGAGAGTGAAAAAGTCGTCCTCGAAGGTCTGTTCAACAGGTGATGACACAACTTATGTAGAAATGTGGTCACCTCGAACATGTTTCCAACGCAACTACGCAATGAATAGGCATGTGCTGTTCGGACCGGGCCGAAGAATGGCAAAGGGTTAGGACCTCCCGCGCAAGCATCATCACATGAATGGTCAAAACCGTTCCATATATATGTCGAACAAAGTCGTGTGCGAAGGATGGTGCTCCAAGGTAGTCCCCGAGGCTATCGTTAATTCTGGTCTGTTGTCAATCCAGGCACGTTCCCGACATCTTGGAGATGATAAAGAAGGCCAAGATGGAGCCTCTCGTGCCAATTCCCACCATCAACATGGTGCAGGCGGTGTGTCGGCTTCTTGAAGGACTACTCCCTGCCCTGACAGACAAAACCTCCGAGGTGTGAATGGCGGGATAGTGTAGACACAGTCACATTCAGCAGGATCGGTGCGCCGATAAATCAGCGGCCGTGCAAATAGGTAGCCACTTATGTAGGAAGGAATCCGTTCCGATACCGTTTGATTCCCCTCCTGTACACTCTGTATCTATCGATACCTTCCATGGCTGCTTGGTGGGTGTTCAGCAAGGTTGTAAGATGGACACTCATCCCAAAACCACGGTATACGGGTTTCCCAGCATGCGGTACAAATGACTAAGTGGACACATGTACTTGTCATCTTGGGTCCGTGTTTAGAATACTTTATATTGTAGAAAAGCTGCTGTTTCGACCGAACGAAGAAAAAGAGAGAGAAGTATATATTTCATCAAAGGCAGTTCCGAGGTGGTCGGTGGTATGGAAAATATATCAGGTGATTGCGGAATATGACTTCGTAAAATTATCATCTGATGATACATTCGCTACAATAGCATGCTCTTGTTCTACCGGGCGCAAACAAGAGAGGCAGACGCGATACTTGCTCTCTCGACACTGCCTGAAGGAGAGGCGAAAATAGCTCGCAGTCACCACTTTTCCGCCCCCACCTACCCACTCTCCTCTCTGCTTTGCTACCGAGAAGAATATGGAGCGAATGTTCTTGTTCGCGGCCATGTGGGCCTTCGGCGGTGCTCTATCTTCCGATTCCAAATGCGACGACCGGAAAGTGTTCAGTCAGGAGTGGCGGAAGCTCTTGCCGTCGAAGTCTGTCAAGCTACCCGATCAGGTGATACGCTGCTGCTGCTGCTGCTGCTGTCGCTGTTGTTGTTGTTGCTGGGATTGGTGTTGTGGTCGTGGACGCGCCGATGCGGTCAGAGGGGAAGCGGTATTCAAGCTACCCCGCCACGCGCATACCAGAGGAAATCGACAGTCAAGACCTGCATCCCACGCCGGTCGACAAAACACGCAGATGAACGACTTTCTCACTCTGAAAACAACAGCCACACCAAATACAACAATAATGCAAATGGGTATGTTGTAACCTACGTCTCTCATTATGGCTCGGTTGATGGCACGGTACCCAAATTGTCCACGGAGTTCCACTGGCTCAAGAACTTTCCAATAGTTCCGATGCACGAGTGCGCCTCCCCCCTGGAACTGCCAGATATCTTACAGCATCTGTTCGGCCCGGACCCCATGTTTTCTACACCCTTCGAGTTTATTATTCCAGCAGATCAATTCGTCTGTTTCCTGCACCGCAATTTCTTACCACACCCTCCACCGTCGCCAGCTGACTAATTGGCTGCTTTGGTACGGGCGGTCTTTTTCTCATGCATGTCTTTCATCCGCTGCACTTGTTTCGACTTGTTTTGTTGGCAAAGGGACTAGTATTCGACTACTTCGTCAACCCTGAGAACGGAGAAGTTGTGCGTTGGTCGGACAAGGTGCCGTCCTTTACCCCATCGATAGGCCAGTCGTTCGCTTCGATGGTGGTGCCCACCACGGACCTCGTTCNGAACACCGGAGGGGGTGGCTTGTTTTACAACGTCGTTGCCAAACGACGAAAACCCAACCCCGATTGC